TCAGCATCTTGATTAACATGCAAATACTGGAAATACAACTTACTACAACGATTGACGTGATGCTGATAACTAGATTCAATTGGCTAGCACTATAAACTCGGCATTAGTCTGGACTTGTAGAAGCAGACCCAAATTTCCCCTCACCTCACCCATTGTAACTTCATTGATTTCACAACCAGCCCGTTTATGAATTTTGGTACTTGTCTAACGAGGCGATATAATTAATCGGGTAGTCAAGCTCGGTGACAGGGTTGGTAGCATGTTCTCATACTCAGATGGAGTGGATCATTGCTCACAATATCATTAACTGATTTGCTGGTCCAAACTCAGGTATTTGATGGCCGCTCTCATGTAGCTTGAGTTGTGCTGATGGCGGCTTTAAACACCAAACAAAAGAAACAAAAATATCCACTTATTTCAACCTATTGGAACTTGCTAAACAAACCATAGGCTACACAATCGTGTTCATCTGTGGTCACCTTACCTCGTATTTATTTTAAAACAACCATCAAATATCAGCTCTATGCTGCGCCACTGAGGTAAACAAGAAAAAGGTGGACTGCAGTTACGGCTTACTCATGATGTGAGATCATGTTTACATATATACATATATATGATAATGATATGGTATCATAAACACAGTTTTTTGATGCATTGCAAATAAAGGTTTTGACTCAAATTGACATAAGTGTATAATTACTTATGACGTGATATCATGTATGATGATAATATAAATGCAATGCAAAATGAAAGATGAGATTAAAAACCACATAACCTGATAATTTGTTTATCTCACTTAACTGGGAGATTGACAAGCTTTTTAAGTGTAGGCAGAATAAGCTTTGGACAGAATGAGATGTCATGTGATGTGAAAACACACAACATTTGTGTTCTGTGATGTGATAATTATTATTCAGCAATCGTTCCGATAGTGTTTTTGTGTGTTCATTGTTTAACGCACGCAATATTCCGGCTAAAAAACGGCGATCTCTCCATCATTGTCATTTAAACTCATTGTACATGTGTGCATATTGTAATGCTAAACGAATGTTATGACTATGATAAGGAATAGTGATGGCACTCCCTTGCTCATAAGGCTGTTTTATTATAACTTTGCAAATACTCAAATTTACATGAACGTGGCTGATCACATACATTACAGCTGTTGGTGTCACTCATGAACACTGAATGAGCGATAGGCTACGGCAGCAAAACAATCGCTTAAGAAAGTAATCATTTGCAACCCACACCGACGCTGCGGGATAGCAGAAATGTTCATAAAAATATAAGTGAGTTTAGATGTTTGCTGCCACAACCAACAGGGGAAAACCCCTACTTGTGACGTCAATTCCATTGGGAGATATACTTCCTCTGTAGTTTTTATTCCTTTTGGAAATGACATGATCGATCATTCCAAACATTTCATCACACTGATACCAGGTCATTTGAAAGAACGCAACGAATCTATCGTTGTCAAATTCTACTTCTTTCAGCTAAAGTACTCCCCGAACTCTGATCTTCTTCGTGGATCTCATGAACCAAACATCTTTTCGTTTCTCTTTACTTTTGTTGTTGTCTCCTGAAAAGGTAACACGTGAAGATCCGGGATAGAATAGGTCTTCAGCAACTGATGCTTGCCGTAAAGGCGACAATGCTGTGTTGTAAGAGGCGACTAACGGGATCGCGTGGTCAGGCTCGCTGACTGGTTGATGCATATCCCAACTAGTACAAGCAGGCACACACACAGACGTGCATGCACGTCGCTGTATAAGTACAATAATCTTGAACGTGACTTATAACCCTATTTCAACTCACCTCACCTTCCCGGAGTTTTCTGTTCATGGTATTGTTACCTGAATTCATGGTGATGTAAACATCATACATAAAATTGAGTTATCTCTAACATGTATTGTCTTTTTGTTTTGGCTGCTTTAATATGGGTTTAACATTAAGTTGGACTGACGCGCTGCGCTTCGTCAATGTGTTCGGACCGTCAGGCATTCTTTATCGACGTAAACAGGACAATTGGATTTCTTTACATTAATATGATCTCGCTAATTCAATTGTTATCACCCATGCCGGTGTCCCGGTATAAACTCTCCCCCGTACAAATTCTCCCCCCGGAGATTTTATACCGGTACAGATTCTCCCCCGGAGAATCTGTTCTGAAATAAAATCTCCCCCCGGCGGATATGTTTCGCGCCCCCCTCAGTATAAAGTCTCCCCCCTGATTATTCGGTTTGTTGCAATGTCTTTAAGTACTATATTCTATAAAAAGTCATCTTTAATGTAAGGAGGGTTACTTTAAAAAATAGATTATGAAATATGGTCATAATGAATTGATATTTCAGCATATTTTATTTGGTAACTGTACCTTCCATCCTAAAATAATTATAAGACATAATCATACCAAACAAATTTGAATGAAATGACTTAATGTAACAAATACATGTACGGTTACTGTTGTAACAGAATTCAGAAATCTTATTAATCCTCGCAAACATTCGGTTTTAACACTAACTACGTAAAAACTGTCAATATATCCACGCGCGCCTCCAGCTCAGGCTGTCCGTTATACTCTGATTTTAGATCTAAAATATATTCCTTAATACAGGCTACGATATGAAAATGGTATCAGTGTAATATCAGTGGCTAGAATATCATGGTGCAAGCAGGTTTCTGTTAAACATACAACATCATAACTATCTAATTCAGCACTGATAAAATCTACTTTGTCTTTAAGACTGCGTACGTTTAGATATATAATCTTTGAATCTGGACTATGCAAAGGTCCTGGATTCGGATGGAAATCACCGCAGCAGAAGAGAAAAGGTAAAACTAAGAATGATAATCGGAAATTATATAAGCAAAGTAATCCAAAATATAGAGAAATGTGTATCATCTTCCCGAAATGATTAGCATGTAGAATAGATTCCAAAACACCCACTATCAGCCTGTATTGAACAACATCAACCGGCATCGACAAAGCAAAGTGATCATGTAATTGTTACAATCGGGCTTGCGGTGAATGGTGGGATGAGGAAATAGAACAGACTAGACGAAAACGTAAATCAGCCTTCAATAAAGCAAAACGCGACTACAAACATCTAAACATAGCCCACGAACTAAACCACCAGGTTAAAAAACTAGTCCAACTAGCCAAAAGTAGAGACTGGAAAAAAATCTGTGAAGTTTTTAATAACCGTACAGATGCCAGAACGGTCTGGCGCAAAATCCACGCCATTAGAGGCTTAAAACGACATAAAAAAAACCTAACATTAACAACTCAACCAACCACGCCCAAAAAGCAAATAATCTCGCCAACCACTTTTCAGCCGTTAGCAGTAACACCAACTTCAGCCAAAAATTCCAAGATAAACTTAAAACAAAAAACCAACCAACAAAAGAACCAAACAATAACAATCTAGAAATAAACCAACCCTTCACAATGGAGGAGCTCCTCTACGTAATCCAAAACAGGAAAAAGGGCACAGCCCCAGGATTTGACCTAACTTCTTACCAAATAATTAAAAATTTCCCGCTAAAACTACTCCAGGCACTACTCAAACTATACAATCTCATCTACCTAAACGCACAGGTTCCTACTCCCTGGAAACAGGCCCTAGTCATACCAATCCACCTAATAAACCAGCTAATCAAGCTAACTCATAAAGACCAATATCCCTAACTTCAAACTTATGCAAAGTAATGGAATCAATGGCTAAAAATAGATTACAACATTACCTAACCCAAAATAACATCACCTATTGAACTGCATGGCAAGTATTCATAAAACGACCGGGGGAGGAAATATTCTGGGGGGAGATTTTATTTCGTAGGGTGGGGGAGAGTTTATTTCGAGAGGGGCGGAACTGTACCGGTATAAATTCGCCGGGGGGGGGAGAGATTTTATTCTGGGGGCGAATATATTTCGTGACACCGGTATCAACAGTCGTGATAAAGTAAGAAATAGTGATATAAGCTGCGTAAAATCCAATTCATTCCCTCGCTGACAAACTTATTAATGGTAGGCTGTTTCACGCTCAAATGCATTGATATAAGGTTAACTCGCGAATGACCGTCAAATATTAGTGCACACATAAGATATACTTTCTCACTCTGAAGGATGGACGTGTCAATATTCGCCTCATAATCTCTCTGCATACTTAGTTATCAGTCTTTTTCATATAATATTCAGATATGTACATGAAGGTTCGATGTCTTGGTATGCAAAGATAGAATTCTTCTAATTGGACTGAAAATAATACCTTGATGGTATTCGAACATTAAAAGCGAGAAATTATACGTGGTTATATGGTAAATGTCATAACAACTCACACGCGTGTGTTACAGAGAATATCCCTATGTTTTACTGGTAATCAAAAGTGTTTTCAATGCCGTTCCTTGAGAAAGCTTCGGTGTTCTGTAATATAGTGTGCACCTCACTTTAAGCTAAAATGCAAATGATTACTAAACGTGCACCGTGATTGACAAATGTTTATTCAATGACGAGTTTACAGTATAAACTTACATATATGAATCAATCAAAAAACAAATATATTCTTCAAATGCATAATCACTTGCTCTCTTGGTTATTCTCTTTATTTATACATATTATTGATATTCCCACTGGTACCGCATCCTCCATATTTCAGGTTTGCTTGGTGTGTGATACATTGCAGTTTATTATCTCCCAGACCCAAGAGAAAATATTTAAGTCCCACTCAAGCTCTTGAATGATTAATTTTGACAAGTCTAGATAAGGATTGTTCTGGGCTCTATTTTAATTCATTATTTTTGTTGTGTAGATATGTATTTTATAATAAGATAACTTTATTTCTGGGACTAAACGTAAGTCTACGACGTTTTAGGTGGGCGGTCTAGGGGAAGTAACTCTTCACAACAAACTTTGTGTGTCCCACGAGAGATATACAGTTACTGCCAGAGACAAAACGATTTGGTTTTCAAATAGACCCTAATTACTCAGCTCACCTGTAGTCCTGTCAACACATTCAGAAACAGGTTGAACAAGATTGTGTTTTCCAGACCAGGAAGTGATATTCAGCAGGGAACGGCTGTCTAAATATACACCACTTTCAATAACAGGCTAATTTATAATGTTACACACATACCACGGTAACATATACTGCCTGTCTGTAGGCTATGCATTGTTACGGGTGGCGACCAAAGAACGCTAGGCTGTGTTCACTGATACCCATGTAATACAAGCTGTTCTTGTACACGCCTGGATTGAGGAAAACATGAATGTTTATCAAGCACACATATATGTAACTGACATACAGATATCAATGTTAGAGTGATCATAAATGTCAAGGATTTGCCGCACAACATGGCAATGTGCAAGTCAGAGGAGTACACAAGACTTTCTTATCTGTTGTGTATGGTCGTTACCTCACATGGATGGCAGCATATACTGACTAGTTATGGCATAAAAACACCTGGAATTGATCGAAAGGGATAGCGGTTAGGACGAGACGCATAGACTGTATAGTGATAGTCACATGTGGTGGGGGAAAAGTGACATTAGACACGGGGATACTATTTTGTTTTTGTGTTTGATAGGCATTACTTAGAAGTTGACGGATGACAATATAGACAACTTTTATAACTTTTGTTATCACTCATATGACTCATATTATACATGTCAGTACCAGCCTGGTACACACCTGGCTCAGGTGAGAGATAACATGGATAAACAACCGAAATAACGGAATATGAGGAAAGTGTCATGCATATGCATTTCAGTTTACAAAATAAACAGAAATCAGCTGACTGTAGGGTGGCGTGTCGAACTTTACCTCACTTGTATCTACATAAGCGATCTAAATAAAATGAATGTAATTGTATAATCTATTTGGTTCCGTCAGATATTATACAAATAAGGAAGTTAGTTTATCATTAACAAATAACTGTTACTGACAAAATATTTAGCATTAGGATAAGAAGTGTAATAACATTAAATAAATTTTGTCACTCCCAAACCATGCCGTTGGTAGTGTTCGGGATATAGCCTGTGTTTGTGACATTACTTTTAATTAATCATCGGCCTTCTCATATATAAAACAATTGTTTTTCGTAATAACTGGTAAGACGTTAAACTCCCCTGTGTTATGAGTGGCGATGCGATTGATTATTTCATGGAGTAAAAACTTCATAAATGAAACTAGGAAATGGGTCATGATGTGTTGCCTGCGGACACAATAACTGTATATGGACACCAAAGATTTTGTGACACCATTTTCACCAAAAATCAGATCTGTCACCGTTAAAGTGGTGTCATCATTTATAATCCTTGTTTTAACATACTAACAATACAGGTCGAATTTACAATATGGTCAATTTCAACTGTGTTTGTTCATATTATTAACTGCCATCTGCCATCTGCAGGAATTCATACTAAAGCCCTGAAAAATCCACTGGAGCATGGATACGAAACTGGCGCTAGATTCCTCGTGTCGCGATGCAGAGTTAAAAACTCTTGATTTCTTAGCACCATATTAATGCCCGTGGGTTTCATACACTCACTTCTTCCATCACTAATTCACAAGGACGTACATGAACATGGTATCCTTTTTATCATTTCACAGAAAGATATTTCCTGAATAAATATGGAAATTAGCCAGTTTGAATCTGCATTAAATGTAAATTTAACAACAAATCATAAAAATGTAAAAGGGCACAAATCATGTTCGTGACTGTATGACAAGTTTGGCAACAGGTGATGAGTTACAAGCTGGAGCAGGGGATCTTGGAGTAAACAGATAGCTGTTGCATACGTGGACCCTGTAACCCTGAGTACATTAAAGCGTCTAAGAATGATGATTTAGATACATTCTTGTTGTCATGCAACAAATACTTACATTTTGGTGTAGGTTGCGAGAAAGGTGGGTAATACCGGTAGGGCAGCCCATGCTTATCCTTTTCGCGAACACCTGGTGTCATCACGGATTAGTAATTATCCATTCATACATGTTCACAGCTGCACTGTCATTTTCGCGCAATGGAATATGCGTTATTGGGAAAGCGAGATTGGTTATTCTCTGGTATTGAAAATTGATTTTTATATTCTATACACAATCAACGTTTATAATGAGAACACTGTACCAATCATACTGCTGAAGAGAGTATGATACTATTTCACCAAGATGTGTCATCGCGTATGTACAGTACATCTCCTTTTTTCAGAATTCTGACATTTCATATAACAGTCCATTTCTCATCACCAAAGGATGCCCCTTTTCCAGCCTCTCTGAAATAAAACGAAAAGTATCACTTGCCACACAGTATCCTTATAAATCATCTGGATAAATATGAACAATCTCATGTCACATTCTAATACGATGACCATGTTGTGACAGGGTGTCGTTTGTTTATTTTATTAATAAAATTTCTTGATAATTCCGCAGAATACTTACATTAGTCTTCCTGCTTCTTCCGGGTCTTAGTTTTGTCAGGTTTGGCATATAGATCTTCAATGTTGATGTCGTCAGCTGTACCTGTAGGTTTCGGCGCATTTTTCTTTGGTTTCTGCACTTGGGCGTAAACATCTGGTGGAAAATAATACTTTATTTATACTTTAAATAAAGAAACAACAATCACGTAGTTAATGTGCCCTTTACTTTAATCTATTACTTTAATCTAGAACTGCTAGTCTCTAGTCACATGCTACGGGAACAGTAACATGTCAGTACAACACTAACAGTAACATCACACATTCAGGACTTTAATTAAAGGGTATCTCAACACAATTACATAGATAACGTTCAAACATCTGACTTGAAGTCTACATAAGGCCACAAGCAGTATTCAGAAGATGTGATACATGGCCTCCCTTTTGTATATTTCAAGCTGGTGTGACTGACTGATATACACAAATCGATTGCTGGGCGTGCCTACTTTATATCGTATGTGCGAAACAGGGATTTAAAATCATGGAAAACGTGATTATCAATAATTACATAAAGTTGAATTGACAATGTTCATCAGTTGGTATGGTTCTTTCTGTGACCATGGTGCAATATATTCACCCCACATGGACGTTCCTACCTAAGTCCAAACATGACTACAACAACAGTGCAGCATCAACAACGGTAGAATAGAGGTGATCCTGCTTTGAATTATTATTCTGCTGTTGTAATTTAGGTTGTTTTAAGTTAAGATTGACGTTTTAGGTTTGGATTGTACAAATGAATTGAAAGCGTTGGTGTTTCTCTAAACGATATCAATGGATCGCAAGCTGGCGAGATGGTATACAGAGATAGCGAAATTCCAAACCTGTTATCATGTGATCATTTGTTGAAGGCTGGTTGGGTGAAGTGACGTCATGTGAAGTCTCATAAACATCATTTTCCACTGTAATAAACAAGACAAAATGTTGCACGTGGATATCCACTTCCATTATATAACAACAACAACAATAAAATGTACACTTTGTATATCGCAAACTCCACATGAAGCCTGCTCGTAGTACTCGTGTCAACGGACAAGTCAATATTTAATTTGTATTTAAGGTTCTTGGAAAATATACAACCAACCCTGCCCTAAGGCGCTCTGAGATTCTACATTCATGTATCCATCTCATCCTACTGGGTACCCAGTTGCTGCTGTAAAACAGGGGCCCATTCCGGAAAAGCTTGCTCACGAAGACACCTGTGTATGACAGTGTGTGTCAGGACCAGCTGTCATGTTTGATGAGCGGAAGTACTCAGACATCCAATCTCTACCACCCCAACGTAGCCTGATTTGTGACCTGTGTGCCAATACATAACATGACACACATCCATAAACATACTATTATTAAAGCATCACACAATCCAATGATCTTACCTTGAACTTTGTCGTTGATGTCTTGGTCTTGTAAGACGCGATTTCTTAAATAAATACATCTGCAGATATCATTTATCTAAAACAAGAATGAAACCAGAATTTCTTCTGTCATTCAATAAGAATTAAACTTTGTATTAATATGTGTACATTTTGATAAAATAAATTTATGTTTTGCAAATTATGAAATCTCACTTAGACGTAACACACGGCAAAACCCTTTAACGTTTCCATACTCGATTCCCACTATGTCATAAGCACATGTTTTTTTAATCGGCATGAACGCATTTTATACAAGAGTTTACTTACTCATTGTAGTAGGTATGAGATGCCTCGTGCTTGTGTTCACGTGCACTGCCTGTAACAAAAGCAAGCTGTGTGGGTTGTAGCGTGGCTTTAGTAAGAAAATGTCAATAGACGATTAACTCGAACAATTATAGTATGTTGTTATCACATCCAATCTGTTTATCCGTATTGTTTTGACACAAACTGCAGGTCGTAACATAAGACCGAGGTGTTGAAAAGTTTAGTGATTTCTTTACCGTTATTCACAGGACGTCCTCTCCTTCTTCTTATACACAGAACACTGACGACGGCAACAATGACGACTGCAACACCTCCTCCAACACAGGCAGCGATGTAAGCAACTTGACTACCTGCATATGTACGACCTGAATATGCCTCGTATTATATAAACATGGTGAAAAACGAATAACGTCCCTGGTTTTGTAAATGTTAATGTTCCTTTAGATAGAGCTGGTAGACCCTAGTTTTAAGGATGGTATCTCAGTGGCCTAGCACTATTAAATCAGCACTAGTCCGGACAAGTACAAGCAGCACCCCCGCCACCCCCCCCCCCCCGATGTCTCCAGTGGAAGCCAGTTTTTTGGTGAACAGTCTGATGGTTGAATATCATGGAATACAAGTGGTAACAACTACAAGTATGTTTAAATCATCTCACCCCCTACTTGAGGAGACTTGCTTGATTTTGCTGCAGCAGTTGTAGTAGCATTAGCTGCTGAAGTAACTGGCATATTTGTAGTAGCTGTTGTGGTTGTAGTAGATGTAGTTGCTGTAGTAGTTATAGTTGCTGCTGCAGTGGTTGTAGTAGCTGCTGTCGTAGTTGTTGAGGACATTGTCATAACGTTTCCTACGTCTGAAAATCATTATGATTATCAATTCGTTAAGATTTCTGGCGCATCCGGGCGTCCATAACGTATAGTGTCAGATTTAAAGGTGCAATGGTTATATATTTTGATTATAATTTCTGAGTATCAGTGTACTTTTAATTTACCGGTACAAAAAGTTAATATATAGTTCGCGATTAGGTTAGCATCAGTAAATAGGTCTTTAGCTGTTTAAATAGGTGTTTAAACCCTAAACAGACAAAACAGTTTGTAAAGAAAGGGGCAATGATCTCACTACAAAACCACATCATCACTAAAATTAATACGTTGAGGGGCCTAAACATGTTTCGAATTGTGTTTAAAATCTTTAACAGCTTTTAACAGTATTCCAGTCATATCACGGCGTGTCAGCTTAATGTTGGAGGAAAGCCCGAAGTGATGTAGGTCTCAGACGTTTACCACTTCGGTCAAACCCACGAGCACGGATATTGTGCTGACAAACCCTGAAACATAATCGGGGCGAACCGGGATTCGAACTCACAATCATATGTTTCTGGCGTGCCAAAGAGACGCAACTCTGCACAGCGAATTGCGGCGCCTTGGACGACTGGGTCACCCGTGCCCCCTGTACATGAAGAACGTAGGGATTATTCTAAATAGAGCCATTTGATAGTTACTGCCTTGCCCGGCCTAACATGAAGGGCGCAGTGTGTTTACAGCAGATCTTCACTGAGAGTCTTGGGTGAGTGAGAACGTCGTTTTATTTAAATTAGGAAGAGCTATAAGGACATGTCATCATTGGATTATGCAATCATGCAGCAGACAGAAAAGAAAGGTTGAAAAGGTGAGATGATATTTTCAAGTATGAGGCTGAAACTGTTTTGGTGATCAATCCCATGATCATATTTGAACAACAACTTCGAATAAAAAAATATTGAAATACTAGATATGATGTTAGTTTTACTGCAAGATGCAAAGATGATTGGGTATTTGAACTGATTTGGTTTTACTCGGACACCCATGACGTCGATGCTATATCCGAGTGCAATACGCGTAACCGTTATTGCTTTCTACACTTTCATGGGTACAGTTGTTGAATTCTTGAAAATAATGAAAAAGAAAGCAACTAATGAATCAACTTCTGAATATGCTCTTGTTCCAGATACGTTTACAGAACGAAATGCTGGAATGTTGAGATATATACATTTTTAAAAAAAAAAAACAAAAATAACCTAAGAGGGTATTTAGTTTTCATCGTGGGATCTGTACACAGTTTTTAGGATGTGTTTATGAAGGGTGCCACCAGTGGTGCAGGATACGCTCGCCTTATTGCCAACACCTGGTATCATCACTATGTGATAGTGATTCATAAACACATGTTCATGAGTCGGAATCGTACACTGCACTGTTTTTGGCTGAGATTTCTCATGAATATGGAAAGAGTTTTGTCGCTTCTTTACGGCGTGAGCTTCCTACTTCTTAAAAGTAGGTTCCTTTAATTATATGCGTGCTCAGTAACAATCATAATCATTCACAGTTTTGTGTGTGCACTGACTATGAAGTAATAACAATAGTCGTTTTCTATAGAGAGTAAAAAGAATGTAAAACATTTTGGGGTTGTAGTTGCATTGACAATAAGGTTGATAGCCTTCATCTGTAATACATCAGTATGTCGTTACTCAGTATTTTTCTGCATTTTAGTAACATATATTGCTTGAAGCGGCCTGGACATTTTCTCTGTTTTGCACTTATTCATATATTGTCATGTTCATCAATAATAAACACTTGTAATGACGAATAATACAAAAAAGTATCAGTCATTCAATACACGCAAAGTTAAGATCTAACATTTGCGAAAGGAAGGGTATCTAGTTGTACGGGTTAATTCCATTTCCGCTCGTGTTAAATGTTAAGACTACACAAGTATCTCAATATGTGACCAATTTGCTTAAATTGGTAACACTGTTAAATGCCCCAAACAAATCAAAACATACTCACATATTGTCCATTTGTTGCTCTCCTGACTTTTCTGACTATCCACACACCACCACACAGATCCATTATCTATTGAAGTGAGGATCATGAGAGTCACATTGTGCTGGTTGAGACTACAGGTTGCATTGACAGGTCCTGACAGATGTCTGTACAGGTCATTATTGGATACATCTACTGGACATTGTGTGTCTGATACATAACGTGTACGAAAGATTACTTCATTCCTCCAGTGCCACTCTCTGTCCCTGCCAGCACTGCTATTACCGCTACACATCAAGGTGTACGGCTGGTCTGGCGATGCTGTTGCTGGAGAACTTGTTAGTTGTAGGGAGTTCGAACCTGTAGCAAATTGAAAACGTAATTCCAGGGTGACGTCAATTGTGAGAGTTCATTTGTGTAGAGTGCTTGAGGAAATGACTGATACGTTGTGTATTTAACAGTCTCGATAAATATTGTGTGTTTTCAGGTTCTCGAGTTGTATTGAGTATGCGATGCGCGGAAATGTTAACCAACGCAACCTCACTTTGTTGATATACACTGCCCCGTTACATTAGACTGTACACGGAAATGAAATATTTATTCATTTTGACTCATTATCCGAAATTATGTATAGGGGGGCACATTGCGAGCACATTCTAAATAAACATGAAACAAAATGTGAGAACATAGCGATTGTTTACAGCCGCACGCTCTTTCCGGGTCAATGGAAGTCACGTGACATAGTGAAAGTTAACATCAATCGAACAACTGTTTTCTATCAATTTTGAATTTGATTTATGTGTTTTACGACGTCATATTAAACTATGAACGTCCCACACTCCTCGTGAGCAGCAATACCCAGCTCAGTAAGCCCTGGTCCTGACACACAAAGACATACAGCCAAGGCAAACTGGGATTTGAACTCACGACCAGCCGATCCTCGCACGTAAGTTACAACACAACAACAGGGTAGATGTATTTCAGAATTACTGATACAACTGATAATAATAATCATTTTATTCTGAAATGAATCAAAATCATATCTTAAGATTTAAATATATATAAGTATTTTTTTCTGCAAAAAAGTCGTTGAACAGAACAAATAATATCTCTGTTCATTACTTGTCGGTGTGAGTGAGCTGCACACACGTCAGGATCTACATATCACGGAGCCTGACACTTTTTGGGCGAGTGCCTTTGTCCCACATGGATCGGGGTATGGAAAATTCCTGTATATGAACAAACAGACTCATGGTTCGTATTACAATTTTGTTTTTGATATCTATCGAAATTTCATGAAATTGAATGCAGTTTATTCTCTATCGAATTACAATACATCGCTTTATGTGTAGAATAAAGCAGGTCCGAGGTTTGTTATGATATGTAAACCCGCATCCATGCGATAAACGGGGCGTAAAGTTATATTTAACTTATAAACCGCAAAAAAAACCTTAAAACAACACCCATCAATATGTTATGTTTCATTCATACTTTCCATGAACCTTAGTAAACGGGCATACAATATACCTGTTGCTGGCGTATGGTATTTAAAAAAAGACATTCTTAAAAGCATTGTGATTTATCAGCGCCTCTGTAGCCTTGTGGAAATTCACGAAAACAGTTGTCATTTGATATTACATTTCATTACATTGCAATGCAAATAACTTTCTATCGAGAAACAATCAGTCACTATGTTAGTTAAATATGAATAAACGTGTTTCATTTTCATGAAACAAAGAAGAAAATAATGTCGCCTCAAAAGGAATTACGAACATATGGTCAAGGTATATGAGAAAATGAGAATGGTTATATATGCTGCATGTCCTATCGAGAGAGGTGGGTGGACCAAAACTGGCCTTCACCCCTTTTACCCATGTGGGGAATCAAACCAGTACCTTCAGTGTGACGAGTGAACTTAACTGCCAGGCTACCACACTGCGAACCAGGTGTAGAGTGAGTGAGTGAGTTGGGGTTTAACGCCGCTTTGAACAGTGTTACAATTATATCACTGTGTGTCAGCTAAAAGTGGGAGAAAAGCCCGAAGTTTAAATGCAGGTCTCAGACATTTACCGCTTTGGTGAAAACCACCAGCATGGGTATTGTGCTGACAAAGACAGAAACTAAATTGAACTGGGATTCGATCATAGGTGTCGGGCGTACGTAACTGACGCAACTTGGCAAGACGAACATCTGTGCCACCCATGCCCCGGACAGGTATTGATGTATTACATATATATGTTTTCAGATTTAGAGAGAAAGTTTACTGTGCATTTGTTGTCATTTATAAAGGATTATAGTGCATATTGTAAGAACTGAACGTAAATTGCAAGGTTTTAGTTTGCATTATCCAGAAGTGGGAAGGCTGAGGAGAAAGAACGTCACCAATGTTGCAAGATGGATTGAGAAACAGCATAAGGATGAAAATGATTTAACAAAATAATATGTAAATATTTCCTTGCAGCTGCTTGAATCAGAGGCATGTTATTGTTATTTGAAACACCCCATGGACAAAACATATTCGAACATTCCTTGAAGTCATGGCAGTATGATTGAGATACAGATATATATCGATAAAAAACCCGATAAAGTTCAACTCACCCTTTATGTATGTCGTAAATCCACACGCCATCAAAAACAAGATTGCGAGTGGAACATCCATGTCAACACAATCACGGGGAAGCCGGTTATTTTGGATTCACAACAGGTTTTGCCTGAATGACTTTGTCAGGTCCCAATGAAAAGTTTTACCTCCTCATGTCACTGATCTTCGTCACATAACTAAGCTTGTAAATATTTTTGAACTCGGGTACTGTCACACACACAGTCAATGTATCTGTACTCCAGTCATAGGAATTCGACTCTCTGGCTCGTGTCGGTTGTGTTCACTACGCCAGCACGTGTCGTTATTAAGCTGTAACACTGGGCGATAAGCGACGTCTCAATACATGACTTATTAACTCACACGCTAGGCCGTGTCGACAATGTAACTACATTTGCATAACGAACCCGTGTTTATAAGACCAGGAAGTAATATCTACAGTCCACACTCCACCACCCACTAGATAAACAGCCTAAATATAGTCTCTGCTCTAATAACCAAGTAAGCATGACATTTCAAACAGGATTGACTTATGTTTAGGCGCAAGTACAGGTATGTGGCGAGTGAGTGAGTAAAAATCTCTGTGGTGGTGAGATTATATTTGAATAGGTGATAAGACATTAGAGGGCGCGAGAATGAGAGGTAATGTATAACAACTTATATTTATGTGAACCTACTTAAAACAGGTGACACGGGTGGATCTTGTCGTCTGAGGCGCCGCAATTCTATGTGCGTCCCTTAGTAGTGCCAGAAGCAAAGATTCTCCTCTGATTATGTTTGTAGGTTTGTCAACACAATACTCGTGCTCGTGGGTCTGAGCCGTGCAACATGTCCGGCTTTCCTCACTCTTTAACCTAACACGCCATGACGTTTAGTTCTTAGAGGCCGTAAACTGAACTGACTGACACTTAGAAAACAATACAGTCAGTACTAGCAATTTAAATGAAATCTGTACTTTTGACAGACATTTGCTGGAAGAATTAGATATGGTTGGTTTGTTGTTTTACGCGGCACTCAGCAATATTAAAGCTATATGACGGCGGTCTGTAAATAAACGAGTCTGGACCAGACAATCCTGTGATTGACATCATAAGCATCGATCTACGCAAATGGGATTGATGACATGTATCAACCTAGTCAGCGAGCCTGACCACCCGATCCCGTTAGTCGCCTCTTACGACAAGCATAGTCCCCTTTTACGGCAAGCATGGGTTGCTGAAGAGTTAAATCTACCCCAGATCTTCGCGGGGGGGATGGATACAGGAGAGAAAGTACACGACTTGGATATAGGGGTATATTAGATGATCTCAATTTACCATACATCCGATATACACAAGAAGATTCTTTAATCAATATGCATGGCTATAAATTGTTAGAAAATTGTAAAATATATAGGTTTATTCATCTGTAATGGACGCATTGGCAATGATAAATCGCAAGGTAAGCCGACATTTAAGGACACAAGCGTAGTTGGATATGTCAAAGCGTCAGCAGAATGTTTACACATTTTGAAAGTGATGAATTTTCACCATTTTTTTCAGATGTACATTGTCCTGTTAATATTATGCCAGGTAGACCTCAAAATCCTATAAAGGACGATGATATACGACAGGAACCTAGTGATACTAAATGTGTCACTCACCAACACTATAAACCTATACCATGTGATGTTATAATTAACTTGACACAATATTTCTGTTATAATATAGACAAAGATGAACTGAGTAAAATCCGGTAATTTATTGTGTGTGTGTGAGTTGGGTTTAACTCCGCTTTAACAAAATATTCCAGTCATATCACGGCGTGTCAGCTTAATGTGGGAGGAAAGCCCGAAGTGATGCAGGCCTCAGACGTTTACCACTTCGGTGAAACCCACGAGCGCGGTTATGGTGCTGACAAACCTAGAAACATAATCGAACCCACGATCATAGGTTTCTGGCGTGCGCAAGGGACGCAACTCTGCACAGCGAATCGCGGCGCCATAGACGACTGGGCCACTCTTGCTGACCGATCTGTTGCTATTAACAAATCAGTTTTCAGATACAATCAGAAGTTGGTTTAACAAATGCAATAGTAGCATCATATGACAATCAATATTATCATGTTGATGAACAAGGCGCCGTCGTAAAAAATATAACTCTTGATGTCTTGACGGTAAATGTTTAACACATCCAAATATTCCCCAGGGAAATGATGGGAAGCAGAGAAGAGCTTACGTATTCTGACAACATTCAGCGATGTCTCGTGCAACAATGTTGCATGTCTTTAGTATTGACAGTCTTAATGAAAGGCTTGTGTTCGCCTTTACAGACACGGGTGTAATGTTCTACATCACACAGCACTTTGTATGTGAACGATTGCAACTGAATTATTGTCAGTGCACCAGATACGAGACGTATTGAAACCGAATCTGACAAAATAAGGCTTCTCCAGACATTGCAGTGTTACTACAACGAATAAACAGCTAATACTACCTTCATGTTCAATGTCGTTGTATTGTATAGGTGTGAACTGGTTATAGTGGTACATGAATCACTAGTTTTGGAATTTAGAAGCTGACTGATTACGCATTGACTGTAACATTCACTTGGAAAAGAGTTAAGCACCCAACGTGATAATGCATTAAAACATGCTGTGCAGTACTTTCTACAGCCAGGACGACCTCCTATATGATGTCACAGCGTGAAGACAGGACAATGCTTCGATTAGGACAACGATGCCATTTGCAAAGAATCACAATGGCTACGCAAACGACATCTGTCAACCAGAATCCCGAGGAACCGCTTCCATATCCCCCGTGGATATATAATAATATAATGAGATATCATATCTGGAGAGCTATGGCTTTCACTAATTGGTCGATTGACATATGCATTAGCTTGAGGTTCAAATTTCCAAATTTTAAGTGATTCAGTCATGAACTTCTACTTCTACTTCTATTTTGATTCATTTCAACAATCTCATGACATGGCGGTCGATTATTTACAGACCGCCGTCATATAGCTGGAATATTGCTGTGTGCGGCGTTAAACAACAAACAAACAAGCAAACAAACACAACACCTAATATCTAGCAAGTGAGGATTTGATCGACTTCAAAGAACAAATCACGTCACAGCAAAGAAACAGTGCAATGTGACGCCTTCCAACGGCGAGGGTCATTATCTACAATCGTACAAAATATAGACTTTTTGTTAAGAGTAACGTTTTAATTTATGAACACGTATTACAGTATTTAGGCAGTGAATGCCAATACATATCATACTGTTACATATAATATATTATGATCGCCTCAAAAGTCTTAGTTGTTATAAAAATGCATTGTTTGTACTCCTATGATTGAGAGTGCTCTTATCATAATGTTAAACACATTTTCTTACTGGTTCTTTTGACACAGGTAGGAATATGTCTCCTTGGAAGCCAATATCAGTTGAAGCAATAGGTGAAGGAGACTCGTAGCTATTTGTGTTTGTTTGTTGTTTAACGACGAACATGTAACTAAGGGAGACAACTCGTAGATGTCTTGTTCAAAAACCCACTACTAAAATCACACTTAACATGTTAAGTACTCGTATGTTAACACAAATACTATGTTCCAAAATCTCAAATCACCCCTGTTTTATTCAAGAAACATGTAGAAACGCACAAGTAGTTCTAGTTTTTCACAAACGTCTGTTTAAAAAAAATAAAAAAATATTACAACTGTTAAGTATCATTAATGTTTTCCTCCATATAGATCTGCTTGAACAACATTCACTCACTCATTATAAGAAATCAACCCGCAATACTACATTCATTTTTTAAAGTATTTTAACAGGTTCTCTTTTCTCTCATTGTTATCACATTTATATGAATCAATTGTTGCCAGGTGCCTCAACATGTAACAACACGACAGAACCCATCGTTTTTAGGGAGGTATATTCTCAACCTAAAGTTAGTTTAGAACTGACAGCAGTCGACCTCATTCATACAGTTTAGTTGTACCAGGGGATTGGCATAGGAATGGCTAAATGGGGATAACCTCATCACCCGCCTCCAATAGGCTTTCTACAACTGACTACATTTCCTCAATTATCTTCTTGTAACAGAGTAACAGAGTAAATAGTTTATAGTAAATCGATTGTTAATGTTTCCAGTTAAATCGACTTTCAAGTTTGTGCAATACGGAAACATTAAAAATGATTTGATAATATATACATATATTACATATATGTGTTCCTGACAGTAATCATATGCATGATCATCAGGGAGGTGGGGTTTCCATATTGAGCAGAATATAATGTATTTGTAGACACCGATTTCCCTTAACAGGTTCTCTACACCTGGCCCCATTTCCTACCAGGACAACGGAAGGGAACACCAACACCCTGATGTGTAGCAGCAGTGCAGGTAGTCGGAACATAGTGTGGTCGAGGAACAGTGGTCTCATCGTACGTACACGCTATGTGTCTGCTACTCATTGTGCAGTAGATGTAGCCAACCCCACCGCTTTCAACACGTTCAATCAATACCAGCTGCGAATTTAACCAACACAATGTAACACGCGCAACAAGACAATGGCTCTGTGTGGTGGTGTGCAGATACTGAGAACGGCGACAGGAGCAACAACATTGCTATAGGTGAGTAGGAGAAAAATATAGGAGAAAATCCTTGAAAGTGAAACACAATGAATCAACAGATTCCATGTGTTTAATTTAACTGTATGTGATTCGGAGGGTAAACGGAGGTTGTAACTTGTGACCGGGAAACATACAGGTGGGACAAGACGTTTTAGCAACAAATCATTCGGTTTCATTGTTTAAATCCAAACATGTTTACTATGAGATGTATTATATATAAGTGTAATCATCAGGAAGGCGGGGTTTCTAGATTGTCAGTCAGCGTCCAGCCTTTTGGTGTCTTTGATTGTTGTTGTTGTTGAATAATGATATAATCTCCATTCTCTACAACTGTAATAGTTTTCGCCAATACGTAGCTTTTCACATACGATTACACAGGCATGCATTACTCTTTAACTTTGAGTCCAATAGAACGAGCATATTTTGTATATTTTTGTATATTAGTGTCTTTAACAATTACTTATCCCTGTATTATATTTTTAAACACCTTTCAATGAAAATAACCCTTTAATTTAGTCTTCCATTTCTCGCAAACAAAACAACGATTGTATCATAAAATATTATATATATTGATCCTTCTATATCAATTTGTTAACGAGAGATCCTTTTGTCTTATGCCTTATTTAATTCCTATTTCCTATTTCCTTGGTTATAGATAGAAAGATAGATAGATAGATAGATAGATAGATAGATAGATAGATATGTGGGTATTTTGTGTTTTCTAATATGATAGTATTCCAAACATCTTGCAATTATTCAATACACAACACAAAGTGCATTAAACACACAATGTTTCTGAAGCCCACATCACATATATTAAACCAAAATGGGTAAATGCGATCATTTAACATATTCTGATGTCACATTTTACTTGCCAGATGTATTAAATGCAGAATCAAGTACTGCAACATCACCCGTCACATCAATGACTGCAACTTCAAGCCATGGAGCATCTCCGTCAGCTTCAAGTGAAAGTGGAACTTCTGTTAGCAAAGGTAATGCTGTTGTAAAATAATGTTCATTGAAAGATTTTACTTATTTACTTGACAATGCAACATTGCTCTATAAATGTTTGACGTACTGGCAGTATCCAATAGTAATGGTGGTCAGTTTCCTTACTGAATAATAAATCATCTTCAATATGCATTGGATTACGGATTAAATAGTTTCTTTCATACAGTTGTACATTTCTCCATCTGCCTGTTTCTTCTGGATGCCGATAATTTGATAGCCTGGACATATAACTTCAGCCAGCGTACGTGTGAAAATGGTGCTCGTTCACCGATGGATGAATATGAAACAAAATTGACCAATTACTTGATTAAGTTAATAATTTAAGTGAAAGCAAATCCTTAATGATTTGACACCATATGTGGAAACGGGTTGGACTAAAAGCGTCTATCAATGTCCAGCAAAATGTAGATAATCCCTCCAATAAATTTCCCGTTTAAGATTATAAGCATTCTATTTATTCCATGGGGGCCGGATAGCCTGGTGGTTAAAGTGTTCGTTCGTCACGCCGAAGACCCGGGTTCGTTTCCCGGCATGGGTACAATGTGTGAAGCCCATTTCTGGTGTCCCCCGCCACTCTATTGATTCCAAAACTTACTTTACACAAGTCTTTATTTGTTGTTATATACTTAATTAAAAAAATCAATAAATGCAATTGTCCATTTTACTTGTTACAAAGTAAGCCATGGGTGGCATACAACCTAAACCAGGTGGCATACAACCTAAACCAGGTGGCATACAACCTAAACCAGGTGGCATACATCGAAAACGACTCTAATGCTAATCAGTACAGTAGATATTGATTAAGAGAAAAAACTAGTTAATTTACAAGAGCTTTAAAAATAGTGCTTCAATATAACATATGTCATCACAATGCAGGGAAAGTCAATGGTCACCCAAATAACCATATCATAAATAATACACTCACCATAACCGAATGATAGCAAAATGTGAAAAATAATAATTGTCCTGGCTGAAATCGTTTATCAAGTTGATAATTACGTGCATTATGAATTAGGTAGCACTACCTACGATTTGTTCTTTTGTTGTTGGACGCCACACTAAGCCATACTCCAGCTATATGATGTCAGTCTGTAAGTAATCGAGTCTTGACCAGACATCTAGTGATTGATATTATGACCAACGATCCACGCCGTGGAGATACGTTGACACACTCAACCAAGTCTCCTGGCCTGACCACCCGATCCATTAAGTCGCCTCGTACGACCAGGCATATGGTAATGGAAATATATTCTAATTAAGCTTAAATCTAAAGAAACTACTTCAGAAAACTAGTACAAATTCAACTTTTTTTTTTCCCTTCCAAATCTGAAGCTCTGACATTGAAGTGTTTACGAATGCTTTTAGCATCCTATTCTGTTCAAATGTACATGTCTGTTGAGAGGGCATTAATATGGCTGTAAATATGTAAACGGATATTATACAACGGTACACACAATGTTTCAAATGTTTGGGATAATGTGTTTTTATTACTTACGTCACCTGGGTGTTGTAATGTCTGATGCCAATTCTGCTAGACGTGATGCCTGTACCAACAACTTCTTCGCCAACGTCCGTCACTTCATTCATAGAAGGAACCAGCTCAACCACAGGTACTATACTTGCAAAAGCGCCGCGGTGAATTTATGTGTATGTGTATGTGTTCTTCAAGATTCTAGATAAAGGTTTGTCTATTATCATGTTGTACGAATAAAATATCAATAAACTATCAACATATCAACACCAATTCAGGATGGTGAACTCCAGATAGATGTTTACACCAAACACCTTATATTATTCATAATAAGGTGTTCATGTTATCTACATGGAGTCACAATGTTCAAGTATCTCAATACCGCAACCTTATAACTTGAAAGTTACTCTAGTTTTAAACCACGTGTTAGATGAACACATAACCTGTACACTATTATATAAGTCATTTTCGACATTTGATATTTATATTTCTATATCTAAAAGAGACACCGAATGTCGTCTACAGTGTCATCGGAGTGATAGGTGGAGCTGTAGTTGGCTGCGTCATCAACGCCGCAGTCGTCATCGCGTGGATGAAGAAGAGAAACATAAGAAGAGGTATATAAACATTGCATCAGTAAACTTTTTGGTAATATCAGTGAAATGTGGTCCTGGACATGGTTCTCTTCTGTAAACACCTACAAGAAATGGCTAATGTTACTTTCGAGATAGAAATGGCTATTGCCAATTGGTTCACTGGTCCCTGCCAAAGAACGTGGTCTCTATATAATGAGGGAATGTAATAAATGCATGCAACTGAAGATATACTAAGAGTCGGAAGTTCAGTGTTGTGGGTATATATTAATTTACATTATACTAGTCGCTTGCCACCTTAATGGGTAAAAGAGATTTAAGATCCCATTCATGTGCGCACATTTACACTCAGAGGTATTTTTTCATATACGTATGAAGATTACACAAGAATGTAAATAGGGCAACTGAATGCAATAACAAACTTGTGTAAATTTACCAAATGTGTATATTGACACCTGTTCCAGAAGAAGGGTATATGTATATTTACTCATCGTATTGCCATTTAGGTGTACACATACAAATGTGGTTGTGATATATCGGTTAACGTGAAAGCATTATACATGTCGTATAGATACATAAATAGTTATTATTGTGCATATGAGCGGGAATATGGAAGTAGTCCAGCATTGTCTAGAGTTTTCATCTTTTCTAGAATTCAGTGAAACACTTTGCGTTTCAAAATGTGTCGTTCCCTTAAATAGGAACATCAGCTCTAAGGTCATGTGTCTGGCTTTTCGTCTAATTGAGGGGACAGGGTTCCTTCAACATTTCACCACAAACACGTACACCGATAGTGTCACATGTACTCTCTGTTGACCCGTCAAGACAATTTCAGAGTACTTTCACATTTTCAGAAGACAACATTAACACACCAAACATCTACGATTCTGCCTCCCATTGTGAAGACATGGATCACCAGTACGGTATCGTAGAGAAGCAGTACGTCAACACTGTGGAGGGTACAGCGACTGATACTCCAGATTATGTGAACACAGATGACGACAAGTGGGACACAGCCTACTTCAACATAGTACATGATGCAAACCTGCCTTGAAGGACCCACAATAGAAGGATTCTGTGATGTGGAAGTACTGCGATCAGAATGATGTGAAAGATCTACTCAATGGTTAACATGAAACGTTCTTGAATATTCAATATTTACAAGACAAATACTGCTAACTCTCTACATGATATATGTTCAGACATCATTGTTGACGCAATGGAGGCACCAATGTTGATATAATGTTGACATCATTCCTGACGTAAAATAATTACTATTGTTGATGTTATAGTGACACCATTGTTGATGTACTGGAGGCACCATTATTGACGTACATCGCTGACTTAATTTAGACACCATTGTTGTAATGTAGACACATTTGTTGTTGTAATGTAGACACCATTACTGTTGTTATGAAGACACCATTGTAGTTGTAATGCAGACACCATTTTTGTTGTAATGTAGACACCATTGATGTTGTAATTTAGACGACATTGGGGTTGTAATGTAGACACCATTGTTGACATAATGCAGATACCATTGTAGATACCATATCACCATAACTTTTTGCCGATACAATTTTTGACGTCATGAAGATGCCATTGTTGACATAATTCAGGCACCATTGTTGACGTAATGAAGATGCCATTGTTGACATAATTCAGGCACCATTGTTGACGTCATGAAGATGCCATTGTTGACATAATTCAGGTACCATTGTTGACGTTATGAAGATGACATTGTTGACGTAATGAAGTTGTTAATGTTGACATAATGCAGGCAACATTGTCGATATAATGCAGACACCGTGGTTGACGTAATAAAGACACCATTCCTCATGTAATGTTTGAGCGCCTGGATGCCAGATGAATGTCTTGGCGAACATTATCTATTACTTCTGAAACATGCACTTAGTGTGGTAACTGCGGTCGGAGTGCAATGTGTCCACCTTTGATTATGCATTTTTGCAGAGATATAGAATATTACGTTCCCTATCTCATGGTTTTAAAATTAATTGCAAATATCAGACTGGTTTGGAAAACATATCTAGACAGTAGCAAATTTCGTCAGTATATTTTGAGTATAAATCAAGGGAATGTTTAATTGTACATTGCACAGCATTAACTGTATTGTGCGACTAAACGTTTTTTCACATCTTAATGACATACTGGTATATCAAAGGAATATGTACAGTTGTGTTTGTTTTACATTTTACATTTGATAAACGAAAATATCTATTGTTTGACAAATATTACGAAAGAAATCAATTCTTTATAAATCAAAAGCTTAAACATCAGTCATGTCTAACAAACACGTTACATTCTTAAGATCGGACATACATGGTATTCATGTACTCAACTGGTAATCAGTATTCCACATATAGTTTCACATTCAAGGTTTTTCACCTACGAGTATCTTTTGAAATCCTGAACCGATATGGAACCCAGTGGGTATGCTGTTCTAAATTTCAACAACAACAACAACAACAACAACATATTTACATGTTAAAATATATAGTCTTATAATCCTAGATTTCTCCTTGAACCCGCAGCTTTTTCTCAATCTAGATATTTTTGCTGAAGAATTCACCGTTCATGCGGTTCATGCAATGTACGGTGTGTGATTGTCAGCATTAAAGTTGAAGAAAATTTTACACTGCTGCTCCATCAGGTACACATATAGGTCACACACATACATTATTCACTCTCCGCTTTAACAGATGAGTAAGTAGTTTTGTATTATATCATTATCTGACTACTTGACATGTTCGCCTAGCATTCAAGTATAGCCTATTATAGCTGAGAGGGATACAATATACATTCCAAGGTAACTACCAACTGACATTTATATATACGAAACAAAACTCGCAACAATTTTGTTATCACTTTTTCATTGTGAGTGAGGGAGTGGGTATACTTTTACGCCGCTTTTAGCAATATTCCAAACCAATCACTGCAGATGACACCAGAACTTGGCTTCCTTTTTCTATCGTGATGCGATGCTACTGTTGTTATTGTGTATCCGACGTAGCATATGAGAGTAAGGCTTGAAAGATCAATGACGCATTAAAAGTTTTATTGTATTTTTTATGTAATAAAACAACATATTTTGTCATGAATAGGGCCGCGGGTTAATGCAATTGGGCAGAAGCGACACCGCCCCTCCCTCCGCTCCCCTAATGGTAACAGAAAAAAGGCACGCTCATAATCTCAGGGTCTTTATGATATTCCGTGTTAATATTCATGGTTCGATCAGTAAAACCTAGTGGTTAATATTATGAGTAGCGCAATCAACTAAGTCGCCGAGACTGAGCACCTGATCAATTTTTTCGACCTCTGGCGACAAGGATAGAATTCATTTCTTGGACCAATCACTAAAGCAGAATAGTTTCTTTATTATTATAGCTTTGATATTCATAATCATTCCGCGCGACTTTGTTTGTATTAACATACATAGTCATTTCTTACCTTACTTTATGTGGTATATGTTTGTGTGTTATTCGGATTAGAGTTTAGAAACTTGAAACATCGTGAACAGTTACAAAATGTCACTCACCATTCAATGATTTATGTGTAGTATCTTGTTTGATTAGTTTTGTAAGATTATATTACAAAGCTATGAAACATGACACAATCACTTGTCAGGTAGTATGCATAAAGCACTCAGTACAAACCGACTGCACATATACAAACATTGATATCGTTGTAAGTCATTACTAACCGACTCCGGAGGGAGTTGTAATGAACCGCCTGTCACTCGCCCCTCTTTATACCAAAACTTGTTTGGAAGGATGGATGGCAGATCCACTCACCCCACCATGTTTTCTGGCAATCATGTTTTCAGAGACAATACACACAACAACCAATGTACACGAACCAGAGAATGAGTCAAACCTGTTTGAAATGTCTAGGCAACTTGGGAAATAGAGCAGAGATTATATTTAGTTTGTCGAGGGTGGGGTGGACTTATCAAGCGACAAAAACAGGTTTCTGATTCAAGTGTAGCTGCATGTCGACACGGCTTTGTGTGTGAGTTTATGAGTCATTTACTGATGTGTCGCTATTCGTCCTGATAGTGCCCAGTGTTACAGCATCATTACGACACATGCTGGCCTCAGTGGCCTCTACACAAGCCAGAGTGTCGGACACTTATGACTAGGACACAGATACCTAAGCTGTGTATGTGATAGTACATCAGTTCAATAGAATTGACGAGTTGAAGTGTTTCGGGACGATCAGATGCACTGAGGCGGATAAAGCTTGTTACTGGGATGTGACAAAGCCATGTTGGCAATAAACATGCTGTGAATTGTAAGTAATACAACTGGCTTCTCCTGACTGTATGGACATGGCTGTTCCACTTACAATCGTGTTGATGGCGTGCGTGTTTACGACATACATAAAGGGTGAGTTGAAACTTGTCTTGCAGCATGGAGATGTGTGTCTGAAATAAGAAATTAATCATCCCACCATGCCTTTGCGGAATGTTCTTTTTGTGTGAATTTAGAATAACATACCTCTGATTCAAGGAGTAGCATCACAACAAAAGGACGTGTTTACATATTTGTTAAACACTTTCTTCCAATCATATGCTTGTCGTGACAGGCGACTAAAGGGATGAGGTGGTCAGACTCGCTGATTTGGTTGATGTATTTCACCATACCCCAATTGCGTAAATCGATGCTCATGCTATCACTGGATTGTCTAGTCCAGAGTCGAATATTTACAGACCGCCGTCGTACACTGGACGAGCTTGAATATTGCTGAGTGTGCATGCGACATTAGGGAATACCAACAAAATAACACAAAATACTGCATATACATGCCAATTAAAGAAGCTTGGCTACCATCATCTTGTCTGAAATGTGCCCGACATGGACTAGTGGCTGCGATCCGAATCAGACTCACTGAAAATAATCATCTCGTACACTAAGTAACTTATCAGTATTTAAATTCCGTTTTAAGTTGAATACAGCTGAGTAGTAGGCATCAGTGTACATGGGTTTATGTTCCATAAATTTAATTTGTGGAAAAAAAACAGCAAACGTTTGTTAGTGGCATATTCAAATCAGGAGACAAATGTCAAAATTTCGGCGCATTAAATACTCAATACCGACAATGTGAAATATAAAAGTTATCAGTCATTTTCTCAAGCACTGGCCATGTGAACTCTCACAGACGTGACGTCACGCTGGAATGTTAAACGTTACCTGAAATGCGATGGCACCATGATACAAAGATTGACGTCGCAAGCTTCCATAATAACTATACCTATCTGGTTAGCAGGATGACGATAAAAACCAAAGTAAATCGAAGTTGATCAGATCACATAGTGATCTCATGAAACAAAATATTCAATTTATGTGGTGTCTATTTCACATAACTGAATTGCACGTTGAGTCAAGAATTTGATTGAGAAAAAATATCAACATATATATTTATTATACACAAACGAAAGTGTTCATTCGCAGTGAAAATTCCAGGGCCCGTTGCACAAATCGGTCGTAGCACTACTCCCATACTTTCAAATGGACATGGATAGTCGTAGATCTCAGATTGCTTGTAGATCGGGGCCCGTGGTATTTAGGGGCTTCGTCTCCCATTTAATCACGTTTTTTTAACAAAAGAGATTACAGTATACACTCCCATTCCTGATACAATGCGGCCTATTCCGAATATAATATACTGAATATAAATAGGCAATGCTCATAATCAGGGATTCTAACAGATCGGGATATCCTTGCACTGCTGAGGGACGCAACTCTGCACACAGTGTGATAATTATTCTCTATGTATCATTCTCAGATGTGTAATATGCCAGTCAGGCAATGAAAATGGGAAGCATGTTGTTTTGATAACATTGAAAATGTAAGAACATGTATCTCTGACCATAATTACTATTGTATGTTAATTTAGTTTAATGGGGACTTCACACAATGGAGAATATGTGTAAACTGTTTCTTTTTGTTTCAAACAAGTTTAGCACTTCCGTCATATGGACATTGTAACATACTTAACATAATATATATGCTATATGTTGCGTTGTGTCATTTAATAAGCATCGCTTGTACATGTAAATGTAACTTTAAAGACGGATGCACGTACGGACATATATTGTTTATGTTTAATGTGACAAGGTTAAATCTTCCAAGACGCATTGTCAATATTTAATGTAAGTAATGTATTCCAGTTGGGTAAACAATCACATGTCGTGTTTTTGTTTATTCAATTTCTAAGTAGAACGGTGACTAAATGGCATAAACTCTGCTGTGATATTGATGAAATAGAGGTAAAGGCAGCGTTAAAAATCACCCACTCATTCACGCCTTCATTAACTGGCTGTGAAGGTATCACTGTTATAAGGGAGGGAAATCGTGAATGATTGTCATATATTGATGCGCATGTAAAATATACTTTCACCTGTTCTTGGTACTTATACCCCCATTCCACTAGGCTACGATCCAGGATTTGAAGGAGCGCCATAGATTGCCATATAATGAAGCGATATATGGGTACTTGTGATCCGATTGCGATCAGATAGCGATCCAATAGCGATCCAATAGCGATCTATTTGATATGATAGCGACTTGATGGCACTTGATCGCCACCCAACCACCCCAAAATGTGGCGATCTTGCACGATCAGTTCCCGCTCCATTCGCGATCCGATGTGATCAGGATGCGCTCCAATGGCGCTCTATTGGCGATCCGATGGCGATCATTGTGATCTATGAAGATCCGTTAGAGCTCAGGTAGCCCCCTAGGCGATCCGACTGCGACCAGATCGCCGCAAAGAGGCCCGATCCTATAAAAAACCTGTGGCGTTCAGCCGCGCTCTTC